ACGCTCACAATAGAGTCGCGAAAGGTAACAGTCTTCTAGCTTGGAGGCTAGACTACTTGCACAGCAAAGGCGACCACGAGCCACTTTGATCGCGGGGGCTGTCTTTAAACAGCTGGTGGAGAACGGGTTTGGCGCCGCGCCAAACTCATCCCGTCTGACGCGCCTACCGTCCGCAGCGAACTACACTAGAAATGAAGTCGCACTCTCCCTGCCTCAGGGATATGGTGGGTAAACGGCTTGTTCCGAGACTACAAGCATTATCGATGCACTTAATCGATGGATCAACAGGCTTCTATAGGTAAAGCATTTCAGCGTGTTGCGTAAATAACAGTAATAATTTACCCACCATTGACATCGACGACGTCCCGACTGTTCTCGTCACTATCAAAGAGATCCGCGGATCTATCAGAGTGAACATTGTCATCATCACTGAGAACAATTACAGAATCCTGTAAGACACGCGTTTGATTAGGAACTTTTGACTCGTTGAGAAATCTTATGCAACTCACGCTGGTATCTCTTTACAATGAGGACAAACATTAGTACGCTTCGACTTAGTTACAGTTTCGTAACTTCATAATTTAAATCCCATTACAATTTATTACAACTGAAAAAAAGCAATCTGCTGCATTGTTCACCTATCTGAACACCACGAGTTGAAAAAAGAAACCAGCCGCGAAAAAAAAGCATAGGAGTTATCTAATACTTTTTCTTGCTCCTGCCTCGTAAGGTCAGACAACAGACGGAAGAGAATGTCTCGCCCAGACAAACCGAGTTCAAGCAACTCGTCATTCCGGAGAATGGTTGGGAAACTAGTAAGCCACCAGGGTTCTTTTTTATTTGTGAAGTATGCATACACTCTTGTCAAAGTCTGAGGGATAGCACACGTTGAGCGAGAGAGGGACGAACTGCAGCCAATAGTACCTACATGAATATTTTAGAATCCGGGAAGAAATAAATGTGCAACGATCGCTTGTTAGAAGTGGCCAAAGGCATCTTTGCTCGCATAATCAGCACACCTGACAATTTCTTAACTAATTTCGTGATTTTGGAAGCAGATTTCAAAACGGTGCATCAAAAACACAAATAGTCTATGGTATTACTAAGATATTCAGAACGTCGGGCTTCCCCCTTGGGTGTAATTCTCTTAACCTTGTCCGAACCCGTTACTCTGCTGAATGCTTCTTGCTATCTTTGCTAGTTTCCTCACCCCATTCCTAGCACCCATGTTGACCACCTCGTCGCCTTGTATCAGTATAAATACCTTGGGTAGCCTGTGTGACTGCATACTAAGAGCGAACACCGTAAACCTACGCCTTCTTTTATTGTCATAGAGCGCGACTCAAGCTAAAAACTTTGCTGTTGGGACACTCTGAAAGAGTCTCACCATTTCGTGGGGACTTCGATGCTTTCACAACAAATAGGAGCCTAGTTGAGTTTTGCGAAGCATGTATCAGATTGGAGCTGTAAGTGAAGCCATTGTTCCAGTACTGCCTATTCGAAAATGAATGCATTTTGATGTTTTCCAGCAACAGAAGTGGTATTAAAGGAGAGCAAGAGGAAGTCATGTTCAAGCTAGCTTGACTTCGAGTTAAGGAACAGATACAGGTGTAACAATCTCGAGATGAGGTAGAATACGAGGCAACAAATGGGCACGTCATACTTAATTGTTCTGGAAGCCTTGAAGGAATGAGGTGCAACGGTTAACTTCCATTGTGACACCATGACTATGTTTCATTTACAAATAATACTAGGCGCTAGTTACGGTGGTCTCATGCGATACGTAATTACACCGGCTACCAGTGGTATCTTTACCACTCACGAGTTTTTTCGCTAGTATAAGTCCCGGCTTGTATTAGTTGTCACGTCATTTTGACTGGAGCAGAACTGCGCGTAAAGTGCAGATTGCGAAATAGAGGAGGAGGGTTCTGCTCCAAAGGTCCATCAAGAAGGTTGGTCGGGCATTTGCTAGTCAAGGTTGGTCTCTTTGCGTTAAGTGCATACGATTTAGGAGAGGAGAACTTTTCCATGAGGAATACTGCTGGTTCACCGTGCAAGTTTTCTAAAGGATAAAGCGACATGCATATTGTGAGTTTAAACTACTGAATAGTATATTTTGCCTAGAAACCGGTCTAACTAACCTAAGTGACTATGGCGAGCTGGTATACGCCCTATTTCATGTGAAACAAGGGGCCGCCTAGGGCGCGGTAATTACTTCCTTATACGAACGTTTACACTCAATGAGGAGTGTTTCGCAACCACTTGGAAGGTTAAAATTACAAATGCATGAAAACAGCTGCTGTGTTCCTGGACGTTGAGCGCGCGTTCTCCCAGTCGCCTTGCCAATCAATGCGCCTGAGACCCCACTTCAGACTTCGCGATCCAGTAGCTTTGATTGCGCGATAGGATCACGAGCGTTTTTAACGCACGATCGGATTAGGATCATGAGCGGGGCGCTCCGACGCCAAACGGCATCCATCTATTCGCAGCGCCCTCGGTCCAGAAATTAGAGCAGTGGAACAGCGAAACATCGGCTCAGTTCCAGAGATCGCGTGACTGAAGCCAACCACTGAGATTGAATCCCTCTTGTCGATCCGACTCGATGTTCATCAGCACAAAGGCTTAGCAATCTGAAAGTTTTAAGAAGTAGTTGCATTCAACTCCTTGTCAAGCTGTAGCCGCTTTGAGGCTTCCTGGCTATACAGCCATCTACAGCAACCAAGGGCACAGCTTGTGTTATCAAAAAGTGATTGCTTCTTGTGCGTTTTGGTTACCTAAGACGTAGTGGGGAGAGGAGCGCAAGGGGACAGCTTGGTTCCGATCTTCTAAACGAAGAGGTCTTGGTCTTGAAATTAGAAAACCGGTCATTCTCGTAGCATCTATGACCAATTTTCTAGGCTGTGATTCAGTTTTTTCATGTTCAGTTACTTCTGCCAAACGAGGTTTTAGATGACACCTTTTATTGGCCTAACGTTTCGACCTTCTCGTCTTCTTCAGAGGCCTGAAAATGGCTCGAAGCTTTTAATTTGTTACCTACCCGACCAAACGCCCTCCCCACTCTAGCGTTTCCGACCTCGTTTCCCGAACGCTTCCGAACAACCCGGCAATGAGTCCTAACAACTCACCGAAGGTCCCACCGTGCGTAGCGTTCGGAAGCGTTAGGAAACGAGTTCGGAAACGCTAGAGTGGGAAGGGCGTTTGGTCGGGTAGGTAACAAATTAAAAGCTTCGAGCCATTTTCAGGCCTCTGAAGAAGACGAGAAGGTCGAAACGTTAGGCCAATAAAGGTGTCATCTGATGAACCTCGTTTGGCAGAAGTAATTAAACATTCGACATCAAGAAGGGACAACGTGGAGATTGTTCGATTTTTTTTTGTTTTGAATTATTGGACCAAGCGCTCGTGCAGTAGTTGTTTTAGGTTATTTTATCTCTATAAGGCAGCTTCAAACCTTACGAATGAGGAAGTTCGGCGATTTGAAAGATTGTGCGACGAAAAAGTATAGATATCAGTGGCTATTCGAGAGATTGAGCGATCTGGCGAATTAAGAGATTCAGCGGTCTGGCGTTTTGGGAGATCGCCGGCTCGCCTATGCCTAGTCAGTCCTTTGGCGCGCAATCGCCAGAAACGCCGAGAGCAACGTATGAACGTAGCCCAACACTTTTTGTTCTGGCCCACTCTTGGATATTCCATGTCACGAGGGCAAATTTCAACCCTATCATATAAAAAAACATCTGATCTCTCCCTGCATCAGCGATTCAAAGCTTTCTGGAGGCTTAAACAATGAACAGTTCTATCCTCAGAGTTCCTTTCTTCATCCTTTTTGCTATCAGTAAAAGGGAGTGTATTTCAGACAAGTCTGTGCTACTATCCTCACAAACCATGTATTCTTCTCCGGTTTCAAAATCTCACAGTCCTACTCGATTGTGCCGTGGATTTCTCATCGTTCAATCATTTTCTGCCATATGTTTATGATGAAAGGTTGGTTTTTAGTGTAACGTAAAGGAAAGGGGTACTGATTACTTTTGGCGCAGTTCGATTTGGTACGAGCAAATCGCTGCTTCCCACCGATCATTCCATCGCTTCCTGTAGGGGCTTGTGAGCTCTCAAGAAGTTATGCAATAGCTTGACAAGAGTTCACAGTTGGCAGGTTTCACTAAGTCAGTTCTGTAATCACAAGAATGCTGAGTTATGGGCAAGTCGCGCCCCCGGCGGGAGTTGAACCCGCACCTCACGCTTTCCGGGCGAGTGCGCTATTCGTTGCGCCGCCAGGGCCGCTTTTACCCTATCAGCTGGGTAAATCAGTTGTGTAAGTTAACAGGAACTTAAACAAGAAACCAGCGAAAGGAAGAATGACCTTCTTCCCTCCCCCTAAGCCAAACAGCGTCCAACTTTTTTGTTGTGTACCTGTTAGCGATGTTACTTGTCAAAAGCAATCAAAAACAGTTACATTTCAGATCGCGGTTGAAGAATCTTCCATCGTTTCATGGTGATACACTTTCATATCTTAAGCAGTTGAACGAAAATGTTTTCGTAGAAGCTGTCCCAGAAGTCCACCTTGTGCCGGTTCGTCCTTTTCCATATTTTTTCGCCACTGTTCTGTTCACTTCAAGAACAGTTGGTGGGGACTTAGTATTATTTTCTTATGATCATAAACTCGATTGACAGTTCTTTACGGAAAACACGGAAGTTTCATTTGCCCCTTAATATAGCTTGTATTGACATCCTAACTTCTGTATGAAGTGTTATCGTATGCACAACTTGCTATGCAGGTCCTACAGTTCCTGTGCCCAAGAAAGAATGTTACGTCGTTCTGCTTGCTGCTATTTTGCCAGCTCTTTTTATCAATTTGCGTATTGCATTCCCACAGTAGATCTGAAGGAAACTTCGTGATAAGGTTTAACTTTCTCTGGTCACGTCTATGTGGAGTTTCGTCGTTGATAGGGTGTCCTGTAACCGCTCTTTTTGGCTTCGGTCCGCATCGATATACTCTGCGTTAATTTGTTTTTCAGTTGTTTGCTCAATGGTATAGTTGCATTTTCCTCCTTCTTGTTCTTCTTTCTTCAGCGTTTGTCCCGCTCTGTAGCGGGGTCCGCTCTTCCTGATTTTCTTACGCCATTTATCCCGGTCGAATGCCTGATCAGGGTGGGCACCAACTATCTTTAAGTCCGCGTGCAGCGTGTCAAGCCAGCGTTGCCTAGGGCGTCCTTTAGGTCGTTTGCCGAGCACCTCAAGCTGGAGACCAGTCTTGCAGACGCTGTCCGCCTTCGCGCGGAGTACGTGGCCATACCATCGAAGATTCTCGCATTTTATCAGCTATGGAAGCTACGCCGAGCTTCTTGCGTATGTCATCGTTGCAAATCCGATCCATACGGGTGACACCGGCCGTCCAACGTAGCATTTTCATCTCCATCACACTAAGGCGGGCTTCGACTTCCTTGGTTGCAGGCCAGCACTCAGCCCCGTACAACGCTACTGGTCTGACCACAGTTCTATAAATCTTCGATTTGAGGCGCTCTGGTATGGTCTTGTCGCAGAGAACTCCAGTCATCGAGCGCCATTTCGCCCATGCTGCACTCACACGAGAGTTTACCTCTGAGGTCAGACTGCCATCAAAGGCAATTTCTGATCCAAGATACTTGAAGGCTCTTGTGCGTGTGAGCTCGATGCCACTAATCTTAATGGAATCGGACTCATTTGTGTCGGTCGTCAAGTACTCGGTTTTCTTGATGTTCAGCCTGAGTCCGAACTTTGCCAGGCGATCAGACCAAGCTTGCACCTGCTGCTCGAGTTCGTTCTTATCTTCACTGGCCAGCACCACATCATCTGCGTAGAGAAGCGTCCAAGGACTAGGTTTCTGGAGATCTCGCGAGATTGCATCCAAGACGACCACGAAAAGGAGTGGGGAGAGCGCAGAGCCTTGATGTACCCCGACCGTGATGGGAAATTCCTGAGAAGTGCCTGTTGGTGCTTGCACGCGGCTCTTGAGCTGGAGTACAGGATGCGCACCCACTCAATAAGCTCTTCGGGAACGCCGTGTTGCCGCAAGGCGTACCATATAACTTCACGCGGAACACGATCGAATGCCTTTTCTAGGTCCAGAAAAGCTAGATGCAGTGGTTTTGCTTCTCACGATGTCTCTCCAGCAGAAGACGCGCGGCATGTATGGCGTCGATGGTGCTACAGCCTGCCACAAAGCCGCACTGATTGATAGAAAGCTGGACGATTTCGCGAATACGACTGTCAACAATACGCTCAAAGATCTTCATACTGTGG